TCCGGGCGTCCGCGGCGGGAGCGCGCGGGGGCCCGGGCCTCGGGTCCTGTCCTGGAGGCGGCGCGAGAAGGCGCTGCTGGCGCAGCTCTGGGCGCTGCAGGGCGAGGTGCAGCTCACAGCCCGCAGGTACCAGGAGAAGTTCACCCAGTACATGGCTCACGTCCGCAACTTCGCCAGGGACCTGGGCGGCGGCCACGGCCCGGTAAGCACGGAGGGGTCCGGCACCCGGGGAACGATCGATCGGGGTGGAAAGGGGACGGTTCTTTCTGGTACTTCAGGATTCCTTTGCAAGGTGACATCCTTATGCGGTAGGAGGCATCTACCGCCCTGATCATCCTATCCTATTACCCTGTCGAGTGTGTTAGTATTGCAGTTAGCAAGGATTGTTCCCTTCTCACTTATATTAAGAATGGTAGAAAACTTAAAGATTCAATTCCAACTTTTCGGCGGAGAAAGATGAATTAGAAAAACTCATTTTCCCACCCAGAGCTTTGCGCCTCATCTTTCTCTCCTCTGCCCTACCCTCTCTGCCTATTTTTTGTACCTTTGGCCTGTGCCTGAAGCCAATCAGGGAAGGAAAGCCAGGAAGCGAGGACCTTCCCGACCTGCCTCCTCTCTCCCTTCGGCCGGTGTCCTGTGACCTTGTCAGCCTCACACCTTTAGCACCTGATGACTTAGTTTCCCTGCCAAACTGCCCACATGAGCCACCTTCATCTCAGCATAGGGATTATGAGGGATATGGGAAACCAGGGTAACCTGGAGTTAAGAAATTAAGAGGTGGGATTTCTTAGACCTGCAGGGTCTTTCTAAATAATCCTGGCCAGCCTCCGGGTTCCCTTATTGGTGGCATGTGAGTGTGTGAGTGTGAGATGGGGGGAACCAAGGCTGAGAGCACTCATCCGGCTGCGCTCAGACTAGCCCTATGAGCTCCCGGCCAGCGGCTGTTTCCCTTCTTTGTCGAGGCTGCTGGCCCCGAACTCTGTTCGTGGACCGCCCGCTTTCCGACTGAATAAACAAGCCTCTTTGCAGCAGCTCGTGAGAAGAGGCTTGTTTATAAAGCTGTTCCTTCTCTTCTGAAGGACTTCTACACAATGTTTGACATTGTTGGTCGCTGCCATGGTGAGCAGGGATTTAGGAGAACTTACACTCCGTTCAAGGAGCTGTTTTCATTCCTCAGCCTCCGGAGGGGGTGGGGGGCGGAGCAACCCAGAAGGATGCCCATTTGGGACTGCTTTGCACTGCCTCCACCTCAGACACCGCGTTCACAAGCTTCTGTCCTTGAACCTAAAAAGGATAAATGAAGGGTGAGGGACTGAACTGTTTCTACTCTGATAAGCGAAGCTCGGGCTTATTAAAAGATTGGATGCTATCTGTGATTCTTTCTCTGTGGTGTTTATATCCAGATATGTTTACAAAATGGCAAGACGAGAGAGAAGCACAGAAATATGGTTTGTCATGCCAGTTCAGGTTTCAAGGTCTTAGGGAGGCAATGGTTGGTGGGAAGAAGCAAGGCTAGATTATATGATAGGGAAGTCCATGCAACAAGTCAAGCTGTGTTTCTGAGAAGTGAGGAAAAACTGCCCAGGATCTGCAGACTAATTACCAGAAGGCTTCTCTGTGCTCCTCAGAAATGTTTTCCCACCACCAGTAGGGGCTGCTGTGGGCGCTGCCTGGGAAAAGCTCCTGGGAGAAGGTGGTGATGATGGTAGTTGTGGTGATGACGTTTAAGGCATTTTTATTATTCAGAGATAATTACCAAATATGCAATATCTATCTCATGAATAAAACTCATATAGCCTGGCACTATTTCATCGTATATTTAAATTGGCATTTTTAATAAGCAAGTTATAGATTTAGTTCCTACTTGCTTAACTATTAGCTGGCCACCAGGAAAGCAAGTCATACTACTTCGCACAAATCCTCTTCTTTAAATTCCACAGAAATTATGCAAAACCAAATAAGAATATCATTTAAAATTCAGATCACTGTAACCTACCAGATTCTGTGTTACAATAGCAAACTGAATATTTCTGTTGAAAGAAATTTATAAATAGCTCACTATTTTTACATCCTGTAAGACTTTCCAAAGTGAAAATTTTATATAAAAAAATTATTGTTTAACAATTTATTTTACTCTTTTGTAATGGAGGAGAAAAATAAAGATACCTGCATAGTTAAACCAGAAATCTGTTCTAAATTACAGCGGAGTCAGAATTCGATGCTACATTAGGATGAAAGCAGCATGTGTAAAAATGCAAAGGGATTTAGTCATTTTTGAAAATATCTATTTTTCTCACATGCATGGTTGTTCCTTAAAATTTAAATCATTTCAAAGGAAATTGAGGAAGAAATTAACCTCCCAAATTCAACCATCCTTAACTTTAAGATTTTAAGCTTTTCTCTTTTTCAAATCTTAATTTATTTAGTTACAAAAACCCTTTATTGTAGCATTTCTTTCTTTTATATATTTTTACCTAGTTAGTTATTTTATCCCCTTTCTTCTAGGATGGAGAACATAAGCCATTCACTGTTGTGTTAGAAAGAGAAAATAACACTTTGGGAATCAATATTATAGGAGGTCGACAAAATCAGGTAACCCACCTTGTTAATGTATAACTCAGTCTTTGCTTATAAAGTAATAGAAAACTTAGCTTTTATTTGTGAATTTTGAGTAAAAAAAAGTGGTTTAATGTTTAAAATAGTGCAAATATTAGATTCCTTAATGCAAATATTCCAATATAAGTATTCCAGTACATATCTCTCATTTTTTAGAAAAACAAAACAACACAAAAACAACAGCTAACCAATTTGTATTTCTTTGGTACTTTTTTAAAAAAGAGTACATTTTTGTGTATATTATATAGTCCTATTGTTAAGTTTCTTAAATAAACTTATTTCACAGTAAATATAGGTGATTTCTGTTTGATAATATTAGACAGGTGTATTGCCTGCTTGTACCTCCTATTTATTAAGTCAGACTGGTCAGTTTTCACATGCTAATGCAGACCAGACAGTTTATAATATGTATGGAATGAATGAATGAAGAGTTCAAATGAGCTGAAATAAGGAATAATTGTTTTCACAATTACATAGGAAATACCATGTTTAAAAGGTAGTTGATTTATCATAGTTTTGGCTCCCCAAATCAAATTCTTTGTTTAATTGAATAAAAACTATTTTCTACATTGATGTCAATTGGTTTTAGAATGCTCGAGTTATAAACGTATACCAAACTGTAGTTGCAAAGTTCTTTCATATCCTTCAAATACTACATCAACTTAATTTTCACCCTATCTAGAAAAGGTAGTGAAGGTTTTAAAAAATTACTTTTTTTTTTTTGATTTTCCAAATAAGCTACCATGAAAGTTTTGCATCCTGCAATGCAGATGTCATCCACGGAAACTGTCTTTGCATTGTTAGCCATATGCTATGTTCAGGTCGGGATGGCAATGATCTATTTCCTCTATGTGTTTAAGCATTTTGAAAACCTGGCAACTAATGACTGCTGTGCTTCTGTCCCCATTTATTACAAAAAGATAGAAGGCTTTTTGGCATATCATTTTTGTTTTCTTTTCCCCTAAGGAATATGTTTATAAATGCTAGTTAGGTTTTTGACATTTAGAAGACATTGGGCATTTTGAGGAGCCTCTTAAAATTCATGTTAAAAGAAGGCTAATTAAGGAGGGATAATTTTAACTTGCCATGAAATGGAATGACATTTAAAATTATACAATATATTATTATAGGAGGCTGGGCATTTTCCCTAAGTAAGTTTTGCAATATAATTGGTTTCTTGTGATTTGCTGAAATGTATTTGTACCATATTGGCTGTATGTTCGAGGTTTAACTAGTCATTAGGCTGATTGCACCTGAAACTGTGTAAAGATTAGCTTTGAATGGGTTTTCCTGCAGTTTGGAATTGATCTTTTGGGATTTTACACTTGAGTAAGCTCTCAGTCTCCCCTGTGAATAGATACAGTCAGAGCTATATTTTCAAATATGTCACATCGTGAGGCCAAGTTACATTTTCAAAACTATGACCACATGTCAAACCAATTGTATAGTGAGGCTGGATATACTTTTTGTTTCCTTTAACTGATAACCTTTTTAAAATTGCTACATCTCTCTAGAAGTGGGATGTTTTATAAATAATACTTAGAAGTCTTTTTACATGCCCTTTCCCCATAGCTTGTATGTACATTGCAAAACACAAAAGACGAGGTAAACAGATAATCTTGTCAAAGATGCTGGACTTGTTCATTAAAGCTGCCATCTTGATTAATGACTATTTGGTGTTAAGTGAGTTAAAATTCAGTGCCAAATCCCCAGCCCAGAAAGAGAGTTGTGTGTTTGGGGAGGATTGGCAATGTTACATTAACTAAATTGTTTTTATGCAACTTAAAATTTCATTTACATCTTTCTTGCTGCTAATGTTTGTATTTTTAATAGAATAAACAAGAAGAAACACCAATGGAAGGAATTTATGTTTCAAAAATTTTGGAAAACGGACCTGCTGATAGAGCAGATGGCCTAGAGATTCATGACAAAATCATTGAGGTAAGACAATAATAAAACACAAATAGGATGCCTGGAAGAAATATTTGGGTATTTTAAGTTTATAAACTTTTATTGCTTTCCCTTGGTGTGGAACTTTGATTAGAGTGTATCTTCAACTAGAGTGTATGTCTAACCTATTTTAATTATTAGATATTGGGATAGAAGAATGAGTCACCCCAATTTTCTAAATGTGTTCATGAATATCTCCATTTTAATAATTTACCTCTATCCATGAATTACAGAGATAATTGTATGATTATTAAGGGGTTGATTTCTTGTAACATTTCAAAAAAGGATGACAAATCTCTGCTGAAGAACATTTTTGATGAGGAAATATTACTATCTTTAAATGAGTGTGTTATATGTAGAGTATGTTATATGCAGAGTTTGAAATTATTTATATAATGCTTTTTTTAAAACCATTTCTTAGTTTAATGTAGTTTATCTTGTTCATATCTTTTTTATATGAAAAATAAAAGAAGCAACTTTATTTCTCCTATTGCAAAAACCCTGTGGGAACACTTCATTTTCCTCTAATGTACATTGTAGCTGTCTTGTTTGTATTTAGGGTTCACAAAGTAAATATTTATAAGTTAGTGAAATTTGAGCTGTGATAATAGAATTTTGGTCACTGCTATTGACTGCCTCAGTGTTCTTGAATTTTCAGGTGGTTGAGATCATATTATTTGATCTAACTGAAAATTTGGTTACTTTTGTCAATGGAGTTATTTCCAATGGATTAGTAGAGTCATAAATAGAAATTTGATTTACTTGACTCCACTGTTCTTTTGGAAACATTCTGTTTGTTCTAGAGCATATAATCACTAGTGCTGTCTTTCTGAATACCTGTAAACGATCAGGATGGACACTGTTTTTCTTTATTAAAGTTTGATTAAAGTTTTAGCTGTACATTCATCACTTGTTCATTAAAAAAAAAGTTGAATTTTGAATACTTTGAACAAGGATGAGAGTAAAAAGCATAAGGGAGCCTCTAGGGTTAGGGTTTGTCGTTGGCTCATAACCTTTAGAAATTAGCTGATTAGACACTTCGGGGAAGAGAGAGGAGTTGCCTTTGGCTGAAACATTGTGGTTTTTATCTGAAGAGGTCTCTTGTATCAAGATTTTCTCTTTCCAGTTTTGTAGCCAAGAAAGCATAGACCTACTTTCACTGATGCTGTCCAGTGTGTCTTGACAGTTTGCCTGGTGGAAACATTTACTTGCTGCCGTTTCTGAAGTTAGAATTTTTCTCTTTCTACTCATGTTTGTGTAGTATGATATAAAGGGCAAGATAATTTAAACAAACAAACAAATGTTCTTATTACTTTCTGCCTTATCTCTAAGCATTTTGGTTTCTCCAGTTAAACGGAACACAAATTACTTACATTTGTTGCTATTAGAAGGGCTGATGGAACTGAATACGTGTATTCAGTTAGCACACATACTCAGTGTACTCGTAACAGAAAAACGTGCTGGGGATTTAGAAGTAATTCATTCTACCTAGGTGACAATGTTATAAATCCTTCCTTAATGTTGTGTGTAAAAAGAGAGAGAAAAATGTGTCTTTTATATTGCGATATAGCATATTTGTTAAAACCTTACTGGTTTTGTTAATGTAAAGATGTAATCTTATAAAAACTGGTTGGTTAATCAAGTGCATCTCGATATCTAATACTGTTACTAATATATGTCAAAATAACCTTAATCAAATCATATAAGATAAAGAGCAAAGGGATTGACCATGGAAATCTAAATTATAATTTATAATCAGCTGCACTATTATTATTATTCATCTTGATGTGTGTATATTAACAGCTAATGACAGGAGCTTAAAATTTGCCTCAATGATAGAGTTTTCAATGTATCCTTTATGTCAGGGTTTATTAGTGATATGCATATTATCTTTATAGTTTTAAAATGGATTCACATGACTACATTCGCAGTGAAGAAATGAGTTAGGTGATACACGTATTTCTGGAAGGTTGTCTGTTAAATTGCATGAGATATTTTGGAAGGAAGATTATTAGGTTTGAATCTTTCTTATTTAGTTGCTCAGTGATGCTGTCAGCTTTTTAAAGTGAACAGGTGTTTGTGTGAATTTATTTAATATGTGTACTTAAATAAGTAGCATGTTTGTTCTTGCACATATATATGTGTAAAATACCCCTGTGTACCAATTAAAGTCAGAAATATTTGATGCTTATCAATTACTTTAGTTCAACTGCCATTGTGGTACCACTCAACTTTTTATATTTATAATAATGGAAAACTGATAAGAAGTATATTGACTAATTTAGAACGTGCAGAGGCAGAAAAACAGATTTTTTTAAATGAGAATCATTTCTCTTCCATTTTTTTGTGTTCAGTGATTTGTTTATTGAACTAATTTGATGGACTCTTTTGTTCATTTTTTCAGTTTCAAATGGCCACGCTGACTTAAATCTAGTGCAACAAATAAGTTTGTTAGCAGTACAAAGTACACAGATTGTTCATATATTATGAACTGTCCCTATGACTTAGCTCCAACTGTCTGACACATTACTAAATGCTTTGAATTCAGTGATGTGTGACTGAAACAAAAAAGAGAAACGGTTAGACAATTTATTTTTTACATACAGTCAGATATACTAAAATATTTTGTCTAGTTAATTGCTTAAAGCACACATTGCAACAGGTTTATGCATTGTTCTTATAAAATAAATTTTCTTAAATCATTCATTTGATGGAGAAAGTAGATACATTAAAGGTTTGGTTCTACTGATAATTAAAGAGATATTACTAATTCTAATAAGATATTAGCTATAACAGTTTTGCTAAAGTTTAACAAAGGCCAAAAACTCCAAAGTATTCTTTTGTAATGTTCTATATATATTCCACTGAAACGGAATTCAAGAATTATAAAAGAAAAAAATCACAGTCATGAGGTAACTCCGTGTCACATTTGTCACATAACACAAGGCAAATTCATTTTTGGAATCAGTCTCCATGAGCAACCATGTTTCCCAATTTCTAGATATGTACGCATTCACATTTGTTAAAATATTTATGTATGTAGACACCAGTCATGATATTTCAGTTACATTAAATGTCAGAGTATCGCTGGAGACTGAAAAGGCTGAAGGTATTATTAAAAGCATTTTGAAACATCGCAGAAGTTCACGTAGATCAGGTATTCACCAGAGTGTACATTTGAATAAAAGCATCCTTGGCAGGCTGTTCTTGACCCTTTCAAGACTCAGAGGAACCACAGGAGATCCTTGATCCTATCAGAGGCCTCGGCACAATTCTATGCGGGCAGTACCATCACAGTGGTTATCATCATGTTGTGATGCCTGAGGGGTACGTGGGAGGGAGTTGAGAGTCAAAGTTCACTGCTTCTGTCGGCAGCTATTCCTCTATTATTATTTCTGTGAGGCTGATAGCAGGCAACTCAACTGTAACCCCTGAGTGAGAAAGTGAATAAAAGGGGCCATAGTCATTCATGGCTCTTTGTTCACAATTCCTTCTTCCCACCCTTCCCCCCAGATCCTAGCCAATGCCTCGTGGCAGGATAGTCCACCCTTCTCCCAGCTTCTGGAGACCAGAGGGTGGGGGTGGAGTGTTATGAAGTCTTTGAGAAGAACAGTTTGGAGCAGAAAGCAGAGTTTTCTTCAGTGGATCGATTAAAATCTCTTGTTTGTATGTTTGTTTGTTTATTTATTTATTTACCTTGAGATTCATTATGAAACACAGCACCCGAGACACTTCCATTTACTTTAGAAACGTTTCTCACATTGAACTGAAGTCAGTGTAGCTCTTTCTAAAAGGTGCTAAATTCAGTACTAGCAGAAAGAACTTTAGAAATGCAATGTCTCTACAAGAACTGAACTCTTCCAGACTGCCAGCTACGCTTTCTTTTAGCTCTTTAATGTCAGACTTTCTGCGTTCTCTGTCACTACTTTGTTTCTCTAAAGTGAAAATCTCTGGTGGTCATCATGTTTATTTGCTACATCCTTTGGTCATAGCTGTTCATGCAAGTAATTTAAATGCAGATCGGAGCTAAACATTCAGAAACCCCTTTGAATCAGATCTTCTATGGGGTATCTTTGTATGTGCCTGACGGCGCAGTGTAACTTACCACCTCACAAAGCAGGGATGCTAATTTGTGTATGCATACGAAGATTTACAAGTTTTGTAGGTCGCTTATCATTCAGGTGGGCATTTAGAATAATTGACAAATTGCTATTTAATTCAGACACATCACTGAACTCTTCAATAAAATATTATCATCCTCCCACATATTTATTTATTTTTAAATTTTATTTATTTATTTATTTATTTATTTAAAAAAATATTTTTGGGGGGGGAGGTAATTAGGTTTATTAATTTATTTTTTTGAATGGAGATACTGGGGATTGAACCCAGAACCTCATGCATCATTTCATCTTTATTTTTAGGACTTTGTCTTTTAACCTTCATACTGGCTGTATTAGTGATTAATTCACTACCTCTGCTATATATTTACCTTTACTGGTGAGGTTTATACTTTCATATGTTTTCTTGTAACTAATTATCACTTTTTTTGCAGTTGAAAGAAGTCACTTCAACATTTCCTGTAAGGCTGGCTTTAAGGTGATGAACTCATTTAATTTTTGTCTGTAAAGCTATGCATTTCTCCTTTAGTTCTGAAGGGTAACTTTGTTGGGTAGAGTATTCTTACTCGGAAGTGTCTTTTCTTTCAGTTCTTTTAATATATCACACCATTCCCTTCTGACCTGCAAAGTTTCTGTGGAAAAATCTACCAATATTCTTGTGTGCAACAGGTTGTTTTTCTCCTGGTGCTTTTAAGATTCTCTGGCTGTCTCTAACTTGTAACATTTTAATTAGAATGTGTCTTGGTGTGAGTCCCTTGGTATTCATCCTATTTGGAACTGTCTGGGCTTCCTGGATCTGAATGTCTGCTTCTTCCCCAAGTTAGGGAAGTTTTCAGCCATTATTTCTTCCAATAAGTGTTCTGCTGTTTT